AATAGATCTGACCCACATACAAAGTCTTCATTGCCAGATCCATTGCGTTCTACCATTCGTGAAACTCTTAATGATGTAACAGAAGTAACTATAAATGATATATTTGAAAGCACAACTAAGGAAAATGAGTTACTTAGTTATCAAGATGACGACAGTGTCAAGCCAAAGCTCACTTTGAGTTTACCTCGAGTTGCTTCTGAAAGTTTATCCAAAGGTACAAATTCAGAATATGACAAAAAATCCATTGATTCGTATACTGTGGCTATTTACACTTCGCCTATTACAATGCCTGATGAGTATGACAATATTTCAATTCTTACAAACTCTCCTGCTCAAGACCTATCTAGTTTTATAGATAGTCATAAATCTCTTACTCCAATTGACTTAATTAGTGAAATGCGTGATGACTTATCATATCAACTGGATTCTCCACATAAGATTACTGTTATCAATCAAAATAAAAAAATTGGTAAGAGAAAAAAAGAAAAATTAAAAACATCTGAACAGCAGAGAAGTGAAAACGAAAGGCTTACTACTGAGTTAAGTGCTGACAGGCACAATAAAGAAAAACTTCAAAAAACTACAAAACTTGATGATAAAAGTATGTCATTAATGGAAAATATTGCGAATGACACTAGTAATGCAAGTAAGAACAAAAAAGGTCCAAAACACTCTAATTACGGTTTAAAATATATTTTGGATTCGGTTCAACAAGAAGTTAATATAAAGAACTTTAAAAATAATAGTGTTCACAGGAGTCATAGTGATAATATTATTAAAGATGGTAACAATCAAAGTGGATCTAGGTCCTGTACCTCACTATTAAAATCTTTATCGGATTATAGGAAAACTTTTGCATTCGGCACGGAAGTTAACAAAAATGAGAAAAGCAGGCAGTCGTCCTGTTCCATAGACCGTGGTGTAATGGCTAAATTAGACAACGTACATGAATATGAAAATAAAATAAAAGATTTAACTGATACATTGGAAAGTATTGAGAAACATTACCAAAAGAAAATAGAAGCTGTTAAAACGCAATATGATAATAACATTAAGAATATAATAAATGAACATAATCAAGGCGTTGAAAGCATTCAAAGCTTACATGATGAGACTCTTCAAGATTTTATAAAAAGTCACGAAAGTGAGGTTGAAAACTTGAGAACAATGAGCATTGAAGCTATGCGCAAAGTTGAAAAATTAGAAAAGGAAAACAGAGCTTTAAGAATAAAATTGCAAAGTGAAAATGAAGCTACGGAGGTAAGCTTATTCGGATTTATTTTTACAATAAATTTCAAGATTTATTTCGCCACTAAGTTCCTAAAATAACATTGAGATAAAATACACTTGTAATATGTAGAGAAATTCCACCTTGAACAATGAAACATACAGATTAAGTCTTAAGGCGTAACATGGACCGTTATCATACGCATTGTGGACAAATATTCTTATAAAATTCATAATTCCTAAAAATAACTATAATCTTTACTATACCCTACTTCATATAGATAGAAGACAGCTGGTTCCAATAAAGTCACCATAGTTTTTTGGCAGTTAAAATTTTTCGGGGTTATATAATTAGAAATATGCACATAGATAGTCCAACTTTCAAATTCAATGTTAACTACTTTTTGTAATAATTTTAAAAGTGTAGAAAGAAATAATATATAATTATACAATACTTTATTTATGCACGCAATTGCGCCAACGGTAACTCGAAGTTATAAAGTTAGCCTGAATATTATACTCTACTCCATTGCAGGAACCTATAAAATTCCCGGACACAAGAAAACGGAGGCATAAGCGAAGTGATACAAGAACGCTTACAACAACGAATATTGAGGCTTTTAATGTGAAACCTAAACCTCGCTCACACGGACCTTGTACTTGCACCTTGGATACGAACATATCGGACACAATTCGCACTATTTTCGAACAAGTAGATGTCGATCAACGGCGTATGGCTGAACAAGCATATACCAAATATATTGCCAACAAAATTATTAACAATAATGTTGAGGTGAGTTACACACTATTTAAATTAAAAAAACAATTGTGTATAGCTGGATACAAGAGTTACCAGAAGATAAGTACTATGGCTAATAGTAATTATAATGTTAATTATATTCTATGGTACAGACCTGACGCAGATGGCCTATTGATTTCAGCCAGGTAAGATTTGGCGTCACTCCCTAGAATTTGTATAAAATACGTTGGTAAAATAAAAAAGTTTTGCGGGTTTTAAAAACAGACGAATTAGTTATTATGGTAAAATAATCTAAATATTATGTCATTTCTAGTTACATAGGTTAAAAAGAAAATTTTAAATATATTTTACAGGCGTTGGATGCGCAAGAGCTAGCCTTCCTTCACCTTAAAGTGTGTCGTACGTGGAAATGTATGTTGAGTGAGGAAGAGGTTCTACAGAAGCGCATCGATTCTCTGGAAAGCGAATTAATGAATAAGCAGCGACAAACAAAAATACATAGTAAGTTAGTCTTCTGCCAAAACATCGGATCTGATGGCAAAACCTGAATGTTTGATACTTCAATATTTTACATTTAATACAACTAACTAAAGTATATCTATATCATAGATAGATAGATGTCTCATACTATGAAAAATTGACCATTTTATAGAATCCTGTCTTTGCGGCTTACTAATATACCTTCGACCACTATACTAATTGGATGGTGTCAATTTACAGTCTTAGAGGAAGGTAAAGTCCATAAATAAAAGTAAATTTTTACTCCCTGGGGTAGACTAATTGGTTACAATAATTTACTTAAGATGCAACCATACCGTGGAGTGCATCACTTTGAAATGTTTTCAACGAGGATATTTAGCATGCTTCTCTAGATGAGAAGAACAGGAACGCGTAAACGAAGCCGCATTCTAAGATAAAAAAAAATTCAGTTGCAGAATTGGATCGTAAGGTGGCTGTAGAGAGGCGTCGTCTTGAGGAAGTCCGCGAAGCAGTTTGCAGAAACACGCCAGCCGTTTCCAGGGATACCAGTCCACAGACATATACAACTGTTCCCGAAAAGGAATCGTATGTTTACTGACCACTCCCACCCAGCCACAATCAAATAATGTAGTTTTTAAACCATCAACCAGGCTTTTCTTTAGAATAAAACACTAATAATGTCCTTTCCTTCTGGGTTTAATTGTTAGATCCAGTAAGTTGCTGTGCGGTTTTGGCTATCGTAGCCAATGGTGAATAAAATCGGTGAATCTGATTGAAAATGCCTTGTTTTACCTTTCTAGTTTGTATTGGTGAAATAAATAAACTATCTTTGACAAACCTAGAAAATAATGAAATACGTATGACATTGTTATTGTTAAGATTACTTTGTCTCTGCAATTAAAACTTTCCATTCATAATATTGAAAACATTGTTTAGGTGTAAATGTTGTTCGATCTCCTGTAACATTCAACCCAAAGAGAAATTGTCGAACGGAGACTTAGTTTCTTCGGGCTCTTTGCGCCCACGATGGCCCAAGCAGGAAAGCAACAGGGTATGTTAGAGTTAAGATTATTCCATAATATCAGAGAGAGATTCTACCATTTCCCGAATATAAGATGAATAAGATGATGATTAGACAACAATTTTGATATACACCGCACAAATTTAATTACCGAAAATTTTGTGAGAACTTGGCTATATAGATTGTAAACCTATGTCGTAAATATTGTAGGTACATAGCTAAGTTCTTACAAAATTTTCGGTAATTAAATGTGTGCGGTTATATTCGGGATTGAACCCTATAAATAATAAAATTCGTTAAAATCTGTTTACGAGTTTACCAGAAAACTATTTATAAAAGGATAAATAATATCTATGAATAATACAATAAAATAATAATAACCCTTAATACCCTTGAATATCTACATCTGTTTAATTTTGTTTGTTGTGCTTAAAGAAACTACTATTGTTCCGTCTGAAATAAAACCCCGGTTATTTCAGGCGGTGTCAGCAAAGCTTGATGCAGGAGAACGAAAGGAGAAAAAGCATTTTCACGATGAACATCCGATCCGTTTGAGGCGGTCCCACGATCGGACAAAGAAGACACATAAGAAATGAAGATTTAAGCGGGATATGGAAGATGTAGGTGTAATTTAAAAATTTCGTGTTTCCAAATTCTATTTTTTTATTAATTTTACAATTTATTTATACTTATTTAATGTAATTTAAATTTTAAAAGTTCTTAATAAAACATTAATATTATATATGTGTCTCGATTTACTATAAAAAATCCCGAATCATATATTTTTTCTTACAATTTATGAACTTTTCTGTAAAGAAAAGTTTAGTTTTTCTTTTTTTTTAATTCAGAGTCGAGACTCCCCGAACAAACCAACTCCCGTGTCAAAATCTAAAGCTGGGTATCCACTATGTTCGCGAACCTCTTGCGCTCCGCGCTCCTGCAACTGCTCCACATAGTGGATACTGTCGCGCTCCCGGAGCGTGCAACAGTGCGCGCTCTGCGCTCCGCACGCTGGCGGTTTTTGAGTGAACATAAAGGGGTGCGCGGCCTGTTCATGGACACGAGCAAGATATCACGTCAAGTGCGTGTACGCGTCGTATATCACGCTCCGCGCCCGGTTATTATGGAGTGGTCCGAAGAAAAATGTTCGACTCTAATCGGGTTGTACCGAAATTATACTGTGCTGTGGGATCCCCTGGATGTGAATTTCAAAAATATTTAAAAGACGCCTGGGAGGAAATCAGTAGTGGTAGTCTTCGAGTATATAATGTAATAAAATATATGCTGCACTACCCACTAATAGAGAGCGGAAGAGGTTTGCGAACATAGTGGATACCCAGCTTTATACGTTTTTGACTTAAGGGAGTTGCCTAGCGTTAGTTAACTTGAGTAGACGTTAAATTTGACTAAAAACTGCATATTAAATGACATTTGACAATTATCGAGCCGGATATAGTATTAATGTGTTCATCATTCTTTCCCGATATAATATATAATTAGTTCATTTTCTGATCAACTTCTTCGATCGTAAGCTGGATTACTAAAATTTACTGCCGGGGTTCTGTACAATGGGTTTGATACATCGTAACCGGCCGCAGCAGATTCCTTTATTAGTTTATTGTACTCCCTTTTATCATGAGCGTCAATGAGAAGCTTCCAACCAATCACCATGAGGAGACCAATTAATAATACACCACCGATTGCACTTCCGACAGCAACTAAAATAATATATTTTATAATCGATTAAAATTTCAATCCCAAATAAATAGTTGGGAGATCAATGCACGCGTAAAAGTATGTAGCACAAATTTGTAGATTCTCCAAATTTTTTTCCCACAGCAAGAGAACTGTAAGAATATCTTCTAATGGAGGATATTCTATTTGATCCATAGGTAGGATTGTAACGCAAGTGAATATATATGAGAGCTAACTGGAAATATCTCCACAAAATAATTTTTCAGTGAAAATATTATTTAATATATAAAATAAATCAGTTGTATCTGAGTACTTATCTCCTCATACAAATAATCCTCTTTTTGTAACAGCGATTTGACAGAAAAATACGTATAATTGCAATGAGGCTGATTTAGTTTTAAGGAGTAGTGAAAACTTTTAAATCATACGACGCTTGAATCGTTATTAATTAGAAGTATAATTACTTTAAGGGTCTGTTTCACAATGTACGGATAAGTTCTACATAAGTTCCTAATTAGCTATTTATTACTTATTGGTAGGATAAACACTATTGTTGCGTTTCACGACTGTCAGATAGCGCTATTCGTCACATAAAGTCCATCATAAGTTATGAGTCCGATGAAGTGGCAAATAGCACAATTTATCTTCCAAATAATTTATTTGGTACTTTATTCATACATTGTGAAACAGACCCTAAGTATAGTTGTTACATATTGGGCCTATAGCAAAGAAAACATACCCCAAATATTCGCTTTAGCTCGTTCATCTAATTCATTCTGAATTACAACTTCCAATGTGTTAATAGATGCTATCGGATAATAGTATAGGAAGGTTAGTGTTTTGTCATCTTTTAAAGCTTTGTGACACCATTTTGCCTTATGTTCGCGCCCAGGCGCGTGCATTTCTGTCTTATTAACCAGTATGACACCCGTTGTCGTTTGATTGTATTCTTCATCGCACTTTGTTTTGTTATTATAGAAATTACATAAGGCATAGTCCTCAAGCTCTTTACAACGCTTCTGCGTCAACTCTTCGCAATCGTCGCAAAATTTTCCGGAGCAAATTTCCGTTGTACCATTCTGTCGTTGACAGACACATTCTCCGCACTTGCACTGTCCTCTTCCAGAACACACCTAAAATAACACTCGAATAAACAAAGATCTTCCGTTATTACCAGTTATAGATAGGACACCCACACAATGCTTCTTAAATTTAATTATCGACTGTATGTTGTTAGACCGTATACAGTCTATATTGAATTAAATAAAACTATAAAATACGTAATTTACTCTTACTTCGTTGGAAATGGGTGCCATACAACTATGTTCATCATCTGGGCATCGGCAGTCATCGCCAATCCATTTTGGTTCACATGCACAAGTACCATACTGACATCTACCATGACCTGAGCATAGAAGGCCTCCTGGTCGAGGACAAGCATTGTCGTCAAATTGGCAGAAATCCCCAGAAAATCCCTTTTTACACTCTTCACATTTACCGCACCTGAGACATTTAAAAAAATCGATCTACACTAAGTTGGAAAATTACTGATCACCCGGAAGGGAGTACTCGGGCCTGAGAAGGCTTATGTGGTCTGGTTTACGTGTAGTAAAGGCATTATTATGAGAAATTACATTTTCTGCAAAATTATTAACATAAATTTACCTGCATATTCCACGACCACTACAGTAGTTTGCATCATCAACATTTGCTTTACATTTATCAAAATTAATTGTATTTGTGTCCGTTCCTTTACAATCACATATACTGCCGTATCTAAAATAAGAAATAATTGGTCTCACTACACTCATAACCAGTGTTATAAGTATTTAGGTATGTATTATATTTTCCATTATCCTTATTCTTACCTATCATCATTACATTTACATACTCCACATTGGAATATACCTGCGCCGCTGCACAAGGTTGAATTCATATCTCCCTTGGCCTCACAATCACAATGACAATCGATTTCTAGTTCTATTTTCAATTTTTCATCCAATGATACTGGACCTATTTCCAGCGAATATTTCATTTTCTTCTCATTGGATGGACATGAGTTTATTTTTAAAAAGCCTTCCATTTCTAAAGATTGCTCGTGTTTGATTTCACAAATACCACTCTTTCTACAATCAGGTACAATCTTTGCTAATTGGATAGGACGAGGTATATTTGAATCAATTACCACTGATCTTACTAACCCCTACAAGACAGATATATAGAGATAAATGAGATATTGTTAAGATGTGAAAAAAAGTTAAAACTGATTTAATTACTTACCAAATATTCGTTTATTATCATATCGACAATATTACCGGTTAAGGGAACATATTTAGCTCCAAGAATTTTCTTTTCTAAAGCTTCATAAGATCTTTGAACTTTGGGGTCCACAGCGAATATTATCTTGATATTGTTTTCAGTAGCAATTTTGTTGATTTGACTCACTGAAGGATAGTCATACGTTAGTGCTTCGGAATAGGTGTTATTATCGAGATGACATTTCATATCATTAGGCTTTATAGCTCCAACAAATTTTCCATCTCCTGCACTATGATATACACCATCGGTACATAAAACAATGATACGCCTTGCATTGTTTCGCCAATCTATGTTGTCTTTACAAACCATTGCTTGCATTAAAGCATCGAAGGCAGCTTCTGGGTCATCATAATTGGAGCCGTCCGGTTCGCCAATATTTTTAATAAAAAGTTTCACGTCATCAGTTAACGACAAATGGTTTTTAAAGGAATATGATTTATGAAGTGCTAAACTGAAAATTATAAAATCATTACATATCTTAACAAATATGTGCACACATGTAAACCACCGAATAATCTAGGCTATCTAAGGTATCGCAGTATATATATTTTTAATTGCTTACTTTACTCCCCTGCCATTGTGTTTAGGGACTTTAATTTATGTCTTAAATTTTTACTAAAAAGATGAGTTTGTATGACGTTATACGCGTCTCGCGAGATACGCCACATCGGTAATATTTTTATTTTCATGGGCGAGCCGGGGCGCAATTGCTTGCGAGACCCGTTCTTTAATTATTGTTTGCCTCTTTTAGATATTTAATATTTTTTTCGCAGAACCGTTCCTGGCACGGTCTGTGCTTTGTTAACATGTCCTGTAGGCCGTGACAGTACCGCAGGATATTATGTAAAACTAGATTATTTTCTTAAATAATGACTTACTCCACAAATGGCATCGCTGGTTTTTCTACATAGCTTCCAATACCAAAACGAACATTATTGGTCAATCTAGTCAATTCTTCGTATATTTTGTTAGCTTGCCGAATTAGTGTTTTCGTATGCTTCTTCATTGTGGCAGAGTAGTCCATGACATAGTATATATCTAAATGGATAATCCTTAGCAGGTTTATAGTTCATTTTGAAAGGAATTAATGCATTAGGACGTGCTTTTATTTGTAATATTTGAGGCGTAAATTGCACTACTTTTGCTCCATTTAAACCGACATTAAATGTGTCATTTTGAACGACATTGAAATTTGAAATCTCTGGGGGATTATAGTAGTTTTCCTTGCACCAATCATTGTTTTTTTCAGCATACTCTAAAGTTTGGCAACGTCGATCATCGTGTTCTTTCTGAAAATAAGATAACGTTTAAACATTTACTAAAGTACATACATCTATCCATGTCGAATGAATAAACATTACTTCAGATATTTATATCTTATTTTGGAACTTTTAGTGATGAGAAGAAGATAAATTGTTAACAGAAATGTCTGATGCACAGTAATACTTGTAATTCGACCTTGTATGATATTAGTGATTAAAAGTACTTACAGCAGAGCACCAAACACACTTGTCTAGATTGTATCCTATACAACCACTACATGTCTTGAAATTTTTACAATTTGATTCACAATATACTAAATTTAACTTAAGATAAAGGCATATCAAAAACACGACCTTCATTGCTTAGTTCTGATATTATGTGTGATCCTATAAAGTATGCTTTGGTTGAGGAAATGTTATAATTATTATTGGTTTACAGGAAGATAAATATAATATATGCGTCATTATTTCGGACATTCCAATTCAAATTAATTACATTTAATATTCCCGTTTTGATATATTTATAAATTAATAAAATAGATTTATTTATTATAAATACTATTCTTAAATCTTATGATTATTACAAAAATGAAATGTCCAATGATACAACGCTTATCTTATTTTTCTTGAATTACGAAATTATCTATAGATCTATACAAGCATAACAATTCTGTTGACCTAAACTTAAACTTAAATCTTAATAATATTGCAATATGAGTATTCTTTAACCTACTTATTGTTCATTCATTTCTATAAATACAAAATATAATTGTAACATGTCATCTAATAATAACTATTAATTAAGGAAAATGTAAAGGGTAGGACGCGGATGACAGTTAGAATTCTGTTCAGAATAATTTGTTCCAATCACTATTGCTTTATAACGTATTGTACAATGAAGTTTATACTACTGACATTATGTGTTTTCTATGCAATTAAATGCTCTTATTCATGTGAAGAGCATTCAACTTGCGAAGGGTGTATCAGAGACCCTAATCAGTGTATTTGGTGTGCTTTGGTGAGTTCGCTTAGATTACAGTATAATTATAAGAAAATATTGAATCAAATATCCCAGTGCGGCAAAAAATATTAAAGTCACAGAAGAATTCAGAATCTAAATGTTCCGATAAGGATATTATTTTTCCTAAATACATTTAATAACATTATAATCAACCTAACAATGTAAAAAGATAAATAACTCTTGAAATGTATAATTTACTTAAAGAAATAAGAGACTTTAATAACTATTTCTTTTTAGGACAATTATAATGACACTCGATGTAGGTCTGCAGAAAATTATCTAGACTCCAAGGATTGGTGTGTTGGCAACACAATAAATCCGAATAGTGCCATGGAAATTGGTGAAAATAAACAATTTTCTTCAGAGGCTGGTCAAGTTATTCAGATAAAACCACAAAACGTTAAAATCAAGCTTAGACCAGGTCAAAAAGAAAATTTTGAATTTTCATTTAAAAATGCTGATAGTTACCCTGTAGATTTGTATTTCCTCATGGACGGATCGACAACTATGAAAGCTATGAAAGATCAAACGCGAGACAAAAGTGAAAACATTTATAAAACTATGAGGAGTATGTCAACTAACGTACTAATAGGAATGGGAACTTTCGTGGATAAAAACACTCTACCATACACAACGTAAGTGTCTGATTAAACTAGATTTTTAAGCTATTGCATAGATTTTATTGCGGGCTTTGAGCGCGGCGACCGAATCAAGAAATTCCGTAACGAAAATGATCTAACACTCGATGACGTAATATAGGAGCGGTCGGCGTACGCGTTAAAGTGAAACAGACTATATATAGTCTGATTCTGGTAGAGTGGTAGATTGAATTAATATCAAAGAAAAAACTTGCATTAATATCAAAGAAAACAAAATTACTGCATAAATAAAAATAAATAAATAATTATAATTGCATAAGTTGATAAAAAATGCTATGCAATAGCTTAACCGCGGCAGTCCCCTAGTGCCACAATTTTTTTTAATATTTTAATGAAATACTTACATAATTCTTATAATTACAGCCTAATAAACAGTAGTTTAGCGTACTCCTTTAGACATCGCTTAAAGCTGACACATGACTTTAAAAAATTTCAAAATGTAGTCAATAATACAGAATTTGGTTTAAACTATGATACCCAAGAAGGAACATTAGATGCGCTTGCACAAGTAATGGTGTGTAATGATTTAGTTGGCTGGAGAAAAGAGTCGAGAAAAATAATCATAGTTTTAACAGACAGTACCCTTCACGCAGCAGGGGATGGTCGTTATGGAGGAATTTCTCAACCTTTTGACGGAAAATGTCACAGCGATAAGGGTTATTATTCTAAAGAATTAGAACTAGATTATCCCTCTATAAGTATTATAAATAAACTAGCAGCTGATGAGGAGATTTCTGTTATATTTGCTGTTAATAACGACAATAAAAATACTTACAAAACTTTAACTGAAGGCGTGTCAGGATCAAAATGCGTAAGTTTTGAGCAACCGAACGTTGAAGATGGTATGCCGACCATTCTAAAAACGATTTATAAGGTATGAACAGATTTGAATTATTTTTTAAATTATTTATCTACGAGTAAGAAAAAGGGAAATTACTGTTTCACAAAACAACTTACAATCTAGAGATCCGGTGTTTATCGCAAATTATTTTATCGCAAAAGTGGTCAGTGAGTTTGTGCTGACATTTAAAAAAATAACTAAAATAGACGTAGAAATGTACTCTACTCCCTATGAGAGAATGGGACTAAATAAAAATGGTAGAAAAAAAGGAACGATACAAGCATGTATAGGCTACAAATCTTAAAATCTGTTACAGGACATAACAAGCCAATTAAAATTAAGAGTCAACATGAATTCAGAATACCGGGACCATTTTAAAATATCTTTCAAACCGGATTGCATTTCAAGGACCACTAATTCACTAATGTGTAAAATGAGTCCGGGAGGAGAGAAAAAGATAAAAGCAACTATAAAACTGTTAAAGTATTTCTCTCATAAAAATATCAGTATAGGTTTGGTAAATGAAGGGATCAAGGAACAACTGACTATAAACGTTGAAATTATTGACTCATGTGATTGTAAACGCGAAGAAAATTCGAGCTTGTGTTCGTCTAGCGGTACTAAAAGATGTGGAATATGCGAATGTGACGAGGGCAGGTCAGTATATTTGTTTTTTTTTATCTTAAACCCTAGTGTACATCAGCAGCACCAGCCTTGCGATTCTGTAACTCACTTTTCGAACTCACACAGCGGTTTTCGCATCGGCGGTCGCTCTCAAATCAGTCGTGAAGCAGTCATTTTATGATTTGGCATTCTGCCAAACAATAAAACTACAAGCTTCCCAGCTATTTTGAGAGCGACCGCCGATGCCAAATCATAAAAGTGAGTTACAGAATCACAGGGCAGTACATAGTGTACAAAACAATGTAAACAACAAACAATTAATTTTAAGTAGTAAAGTTTTATTTCGTGAAATAAATTGCTTCGTAATCTTAATACATATACTTACATAAATAACGCGTCACGTTGTTTGTTCGCTATGGACTCCTAAATTACTTAATCGATTTCATTCAAATTTGCACACCGTGTGCAGTTTGATCTAACTTATAAGATAGAATAGCTTACATCTCAATTTATACTCGCAATATTATTTGACAGTCACAATTCTAACAGATGGCGCTGTGTAGAAAGTACCAACGTTTCACATAAACTACAATTTAATGGCATAACCACGAAAAAAGCATGGTGGTCATCATGACTGGTGTTCTCCTACCGTTTCCCTTTGAATAGTTTCCTACTATGTATTATAACAAAAACCTTAGTTACAGCAACGCTTGGCCGGGTCTGCTAGTTTTTTTATATAATTCAAGAAATTTTAAATTTGAATTTAAAAAAGAAATGTTCTAAGATATTAACTCAGAAACAATAGTGTCGGCAATCTTTCAGGCGCATGATAATAATGGAGGTTGAAAATGTACAGTCGAAACATTGAAACTAAAATAATTGTTGATTTAATAGGTTAAGTTTACTAAAGGAAGATAAAAATATAAGTCCTTATTTTGTCCTAGAAAAAAAACAATAAGAATTGAATCTCTAGAGCTCTCCTCCTGGAGAAGGGCAACTATTATAGATCCTATCTTATTAATATTAATGTAGTTCTTTCATATGTTTTACAGTACTGGGGATATCTGTCAGTGCAAAGGCAATATCGTCAGTTTGGGCAACGACACTTGCCGTCAACCAGGCTCTCACAAAGTTTGTAACGGATTAGGTGATTGTGTCTGCGGATCATGTATATGTAAAGAAAGGTAAATGTTATTTTATTCATATAATAGTTCTTTTTTTAAATTGTGTTTTGTAAATTATGTGGGGCCGGGCCCGTTATTCGAAAGAATATTATCCCTATGTACCTATTTACTATTTTTCATTTGGACAAGCAGAATTAATGTAATTAACCTTTTTGAGTCTAATACTTCCTAATTTCTTTAGCATATTCTATGAGTAAGTAATTGCAGCCGAGGTTTGAACGCACAACTTGGGGTTGAAAGTCATACCTAGCCACTAGAATAAGAGTGTTATTTATAAATATATTATTATCAATATAAGTTATTATTTAAACATAAAAATAATAATCAAATATACAGTATTTATAATATTTTTATCCTACGTAGAAATAATAAAAATAATTAAAAAATTTAATTAGAACAAATTTAAAAAGTTTGGTCCCTATGGCACTGTACCTTTAACGCTGGTAGCAATTCGACGCTGTATTGCAATACTTATTCCTTGAGCGAGGAAAGCACCAACTTTGGGGTCACCGGTACTATCTACCAGGCGCCAACTTAAATCTTTAATTAGCGCCTGTGTACTTGAACCCCACGGCTCAAGAGTTTCTATATTGAGTCTATATTAATATATATTTTCGAAATATGACTATAGTATGGGAAAATCTAAAATTTTCCTACCTAAATTTAACACTTGTTTCAATGTAGTTTGACAAGAAAAACTATGATAATTTTTTAGTTCTAGATATTTTTATAATTAAGAAAATATTTAAGTATACAAAATGCATTTGGACATAGTGTCTGAAATAGACGAAATGAATTATATTATGAAATGAAATATATTATTTATAAATACAAAGTCGGGTTTGTTCGAACAGTTATAACTTGAGAACGGCTGGACCGATTTTCATGATTGTTGTTTTGTTGTGTTTGTCTCCGAAAAAGATTGGAAAACTAACAAAAAAAAAAAATGTTCATCTAACTCACAAACATTTAATGTTCATCTCGTTCCTTAATCACTTCCCTCAAATATATAATTAAATGTAATATATATATAATTAAATGTGTAAGTATATCGTTTTCCAATCGACAAGACCTATCCATAATATTTGCATAATAGCGTTTTCTAAAAACATCGAAATCATAAAAGTAAAGTAAAAATGTGGTGGCTTGTCATAAGCATTGTCGAACCCGGTCAACTTTGGGCGCTGTAACAGCGTTTCCAATAAACGAAATTAAAAAATATATGATATAAGATAAAAAAGTATTAAAAGATTTTTTTCACTTTTTACTTATAACTTTTGAATTTTGGCGTTTTGATAAAAAGTCACACAATATGTCGTCACAAAATTTTTGTATGATGGATAGTTTAGGAAATAGAGCCAAAAACGTGTTTTCACCCCTTTTTCCAAGATGGCGGCTCGGGACAAGGGTGCCAACCCCACAAACTTGGGATTAAGCTTGTATAGACGCCCCCCTGCATCTTCCATAAATAAAATTGCGTTCTCTAACAAATTTTCAGCAAATGTAACATTTCAATGGACTAGATGGCGACGTGTATCTCGTTCGTATATTATATTAAGTTTCTCATGTAAATAAAAATACATTTTTTGTAATGAGAAATAAAGTTCTTTAAACATTTTAATAAGTTAATTTTTAATTTTTTTTCCTCAATGTATTAATTACAGGTTCAAAGGTAAATTTTGTGAGTGTAACGAAGACAGCTGCCCGAGGGGTATAAACGGGTTCATATGTTCGAATTTAGGGACATGCGATTGTGGCACCTGTAGATGCAATTACGGTTGGTCTCGTTCCGACTGTTCGTGTCCCACCTCTGCAGGCCCCTGTTCCGATGGAGATGTTGTAAGACCTTAACAATATATTTATTAAATATTTTGGTAACTGTTTGAAAGGAAATACGGGAAAGATGGGAATAGGAATACTTTGAATTAGTTAACTATAGATTATAATCTACGTTCATGAATCATAAAACGTTTTGTTTGGCTAAGCTCAATTCCTTGGTTCTCGGTTATTAAACGCTAGATTGGTTAACCCTGCGTTTGACAAAGTATGAACCACTAAAAAATACGTCGGCATCAAATAATAATGCTAAACCTTACAGTGGCAAAACTAAGGTTTTTTGTGTACTCAAAAAACATAAAAAAATAGCATTTAGTATTGTCTCTTATTGACATAACCTTTACACATTTAAAGAAAGCACTTTTTAACCGGATTAAAGTTATGTATTATTTATAATACCGAACCGAAGTTTCGCGTGCTTTACAGCGTGAGATGTCACGGTGACTGAAGACAAAAGGTGTTGAATCATGAATGTCAAAAAAGTATCACAGCTGTAGAAAAAGTTGTATTATCTGTATTTATTTCCCCGGAGTTGGTATGGACACGTCGGTTAAATTTAAAATTATGTAAAATAATTGTAAATTTATAATAATACATAACTTTAATACGGTTATAAAGTGTTTTCTTTAAAATAGCATTTATTACTTTGTGGAGTTCCTATGATAGTTGTTAAAGGCGTATTTATATTATGTTAAGAAAGGCATTATTAAATTACATATACGCACAGGTTGGATACGTCTAAAGTTTACATCTCATATATTTGCTAGCAACTTCTACATCTAAACAGAAATAAAACATGCACTACACACACTAGCTCACTTTAAAATACTAAGTATAAATACACATAAAATAAACTTTTATCAAATTAATTTTTAGGCAAACGTTTCGAATTAGGGTAGATTTAGATTTAATGATATTTTAAACTGTAATAAACCTACTTTATTAACGTTATAGTCTATTATCATAATTATTTTTATACGTCAATACAATAATTTTCCAGGTATGCAATAATCGAGGAAAATGTGAGTGCGGATTGTGCAAATGCGAACCAATACCACCATGGGACGCTCGCAACGAACAAAATCAGCATTGTCACATATCACCATGCCCTTCATGCCACATTCCACAATGCCACCTCCTAGAGCCATGTGCTCTATGCCACCTGAGAAAGGAGAAATGTGACTGTGATCACCTTAACGTTAAAGTCATGAGCAATATTACGGAGAGTTGGGCGAAATGCCTAGACGTTAGAGTGGATGTTGGTTGCTATACGCAGATGGTGTATCGATATGCTACAGACCGTTACGGTATAGATGTCATTATACAGTCGGAATTGAACTGCGCTGAAAGTTATTTTAGTAAGTACTATTCAATTGTTTTTGGTAAAACGTTTTGTTCTTTGAAAATGACACACATACGTACATACATACCAATACTGCTACAACCGTTTAGGTCTGGGCTTCAGATATCTGTATCAGTTTCATGATGAAAGTCGTTTCCCGTCGTCTGTTACTACCATATAATAATAGTCTTATTAGCTTAAGTTATTATAAAAGTAATACACTTTATTAAAATGTTAAAATTAATTTGAATTTAAAATTGTGCCGACAATTCGCGTATGCTCTCATGCACCCAGACAACGCGTGTCCTTCTTTTTCTAATACGCAATTTTTATACAAATAACAAATATTATTATTAGAAAAAAAATAGTTTTTTTATAAAACTTATATGATCTTTCCATTTATCACAAAATTATTTTTTTTCAAAAACCCAATTATCGGGATTTTTATTGTTGACATATTATCTTTATACTGTTTACAGCACTCGGAGGAATCGTCTGTGGCAGTCTAATAATACTTGTGCTATTATTAATAATAATCTGGAAATACATAACCAAACGGAGAGATAAGCAAGAATATGAGAAGTTTGAGAAAAAATTGCATTCTGAAAATTGTGAGAGCCACGAGAATCCAAATTATCAGTCTGCATTTAAACAGTTTGAGAATCCTACATTTGGATCGGAAATAAATTAAAATTATGTATAGTTATACAGATTTCAAATTATCTCCTGTTGTTGTTAAATAACCATATAATTAAGACATAAAAATGCTCTATATTAAAGAACTTAAAATAAGTATTTTCTTTTAATTTTTTTTTTATAGAACGGGGGGCAAACGGGCAAGAGGCTCACCTGATGTTAAGTGATACCGCCGCCCATGGACACTTTCAATGCCAGAGGGCTCGCGAGTGCGTTGCCGGCCTTTTAAGAATTGGTACGCTCTTTTCTTGAAGGACCCTTAGTCGAATTGGTTCGGAAATACTTCAGTGGGCAGCTGGTTCCACATAGTGGTGGTGCGCGGCAAAAACTGCCTTGAAAAACGCTCAGTTGTGGAACGGCGGACGTCGAGGTGATACGGGTGGAATTTCGTATTCTGCCTCGACGTCAATTTTATCAACATAAGCTACGTGTAAATTATTAGGAACTTTGAAACTATATTCATTTGTTATCCACACAGATGAAATAAAGAACTGAAACAGCAGTTAGACAATTTGTTCCTTTCGGCTTTCCTTGTTTACAATGTTATAGGAGAAAAGTTAGCCTAGATTAACGGCGTGATTCATTGACGTACTGACTGTGCACCAATGGATTTTGTATCTATGACCACATACGGTGAAGGAAAACATCGTGAGGAAACTCATCTAAGGATTCAGAGTTGGCGCTGAGTCTGACTCCCTAATGTTAATGTATTGAATTTTGAGTCATTTAAAGACATTGTTCGCACCAAATCTCGTTTCTGTATATCACCTTTAGTTTTAAGTAAGACTTCTGTATCTCAAAAACGTTTGAAATGTTTGCCCCTATGTTTTTGAAGCCATTAAATGTGATCACAGATTTATATATTATTCTTGCATCGACTACGTATGGAGCGTAGATGTTTTAATGGGTTTGTAACGCGTAATATCTAATATATAAAATTCTCGTGTCACAGTTTTCGTTGCCATACTTCTCCGAAACGGCTCGACCGATTCTCATGAAATTTTGTGTGCATATTGGGTATGTCTGAGAATCGGACAACATCTATTTTTCATCCCCCTAAATGTTAAGGATAGTCCACCCCTAAATATTTTTTTTTTATTTTTAGATATTTTTTTCTGTTTTTGATACAGCATTAAAAAATACATACAAACCCCTAACTTTCACCCCTCTACGATCAACCCCTATTTTTTATTATAAATGATATATATGGCAAAACGACGTTTGCCCGGTCAGCTAGTAATGGTTATAATTTCTTGTTATGTATGTCATTAGTCTTAGTAATAAGGTTTTAAATCTGTTCTATGTCCTGTGGACGCAAAACAGTATCCAGTTTGTTTCCACCACACTGTTGTAAACTTCTTTTTATGTATACAATAAAAATAAAATATAATATATATCACCCGTCATAATACAAAGCTACCGATTTTTTTATTATCTTTTGGCAGTCTTACCAATATGGGGTGCATTTCAACGCACTGCTCTGCAAATATTAAATTTTAGAACTGATTTGGAATTTAGGCACTAAGTTAGTTCTTCAATTACACCCTAGATGTCGTAAAGCTACAAATTAAAAAAAGGTAGAAATTAAATCATTATTTAACTCCTAAAGCTAAAATCATTTTAACAAAAAACGTATATAAAGATTTGTAATGCAAGTCCTGTCCTATTTAAGTAAGTATGAGATTCAGGGTACAATCCAGGTCTTAAATTAGTTCAAATAACTCACACTAGATGACGTATTGAAAAAAAAATATATTTTTGGCATGCGAATGGAATGTAATAAACGCATAATATCATTGCCAGGCAACAATAAGAAATTTTCTTGAATTATAATTTTAAATTCTTAACTACAAGGCGACAAAAGTTTAGCTCTAACTTGTTCTTTAAATTTGATTCAGCTGTAATACCTGTAATATAACCCCCACCCCGCAGATGGCGCTGAAAATATCCGCCTAAATACATTAAATCAAAATAAAATTAAGAACACAAATTCATGATTTAAAATTACTGCCAACATGAAAACAAAAAAGAAAAAACATAGTCATGTGATTATTGCGCCTAACAAAATTACACGCGCAGCAACATTCTAAAACGCGCTAACGAAACAATTCAGTGTTTGTAAGTATATAAGAAACGGAAAAGTACTAACTATCAGAGTCCAATTCTACTCAGTAAGGCAGATTCTAAGGTCAGATCTGCTCTAATACTGACCTGCAATACGCCTAGATGCAAATTATTGAAAACTGGATGCCATGCCATCACCCATTACTAAAGAAATTGAGAAATTAGACACACAAACTAAGTCGGCCTGGAGAAAAACCTAATCATGTAAATAATAATCTGAAGATCCAAAGAGAATACACAACATCTAACTACGATGTAGAAAACTGAAGTAGAAGCTTTGACTCTATCTTTTTTTCTTTTATTAGTTCGAATTTTAATTTCTATAGAGTCGTAAACACTTCATTAAAATAAATAAAAACTATATTTAATCGCAAAATAAAACTAAATAAATTTCATAAAATATAAAATCGTAATCTCAACACCTCACAATTTACATCGTAAACACAATATTTTGCTGATAACAGACGCAAACGGCTATAATAAGTTATTACTTAAACAGATTAAAGAGATACGGCACAATATTGCATCTATTGATTTACTTTATTATTTTTAAACTCATAGGTTAAATGTCAATTTCAACAAAAAGCGTGGAACCGTCATGCTTTGTGCTCAGGGCCGTCTTAAACTAGGCTGGGGCCATTGGGCACATAAGAATTTGGAGCCCTTTTGGAAAGTAAAAAAAAAGATAATTATGATAAAAAAAAATTACTAAGTATGACCATTTATTATAGGTAATCAAATACAGTATGATATATTATGTCGAAATGTCGGTCCTTCGGGGCCCCCTGAGAATGGGGGCACTGGGCATGGGCCCCGTGTGCCCTTATGGTGAATACGGTATTGTTTGTGCTCAATTCATGAGATCGCTAAAAAGAAAAAGCAGTTTTCTCGAATTTTTCTTAATAAGAAACGATGATTTTTTAATTTTCAGCTTTACAATAAAGCTGAAAATTCAAAAAAAGGTATAAATTAAATCCATCTGATATTTTTTTTTAATTAACTCCTAAAGCTAAAATCATTTTAACAAAAATATATAAACGTATAAAGGTTTGGAATACAAGTCTTGTCCTAATTAAGTAAGTATCATTTTCACGTTACGATCCAGGTCTTATACTAGTTCAAATAACTCACACTAGGTGACGTATTTAAATAAAATAATATTTTTGGAATGCGAATGGAATGCCAATGTAATGTAATAAACGCATATTATTGCCAGACAACAATCAGAAATGTCCTTGAATTCTAATTTTAATTTCTTAATTACAAGGTGACAAAAGTGTTACTCTATCGCCTTCTTTAAAGTTGTTTCACCTGTAATACCTGTAATTTAATCTCCACCCTGCAGATGGCGCTGAAAATATCCGCCTAAATACATTAATTCAAAATAAAATTAAAAACACAAATTCAAGATTTAAAATTACTGCCAACATGAAAACAAAAAAGAAAAAACATAGTCATGTGATTATTGCGCCTAACAAAATTACACGCGCAGCAACATTCTAAAACGCGCTAACGAAACAATTCAGTGTTTGTAAGTATATAAGAAACGGAAAAGTACTAACTATCAGAGTCCAATTCTACTCAGTAAGGCAGATTCTAAGGTCAGATCTGCTCTAATACTGACCTGCAATACGCCTAGATGCAAATTATTGAAAACTGGATGCCATGCCATCACCCATTACTAAAGAAATTGAGAAATTAGACACACAAACTAAGTCGGACTGGAGAAAAACCTAATCATGTAAATAATAATCTGAAGATCCAAAGAGAATACACAACATCTAACTACGATGTAGAAAACTGAAGTAGAAGCTTTGACTCTATCTTTTTTTCTTTTTTTAGTTCGAATTTTAATTTCTATAGAGTCGTAAACACTTCATTAAAATAAAATAAAACTATATTTAATCGCAAAATAAAACTAAATAAATTTCATAAAATATAAAATCGTAATCTCAACACCTCACAATTTACATCGTAAACACAATATTTTGCTGATAACAGACGCAAACGGCTATAATAAGTTATTACTTAAACAGATTAAAGAGATACGGCACAATATTGCATCTATTGATTTACTTTATTATTTTTAAACTCATAGGTTAAATGTCAATTTCAACAAAAAGCGTGGAACCGTCATGCTTTGTGCTCAGGGCCGTCTTAAACTAGGCTGGGGCCATTGGGCACACAAGAATTTGGAGCCATTTTGAAAAGTAAAAAAAAGATAATTATGATAAAAAAAATTTACTAAGTATGACCATTTAGTATAGGTGATCAAATACAGTATGATATATTATGTCGAAATTGTCGGTCCTTCGGGGCCCCCTGAGAATGGGGGCCCTGGGCATGGGCCCCGTGTGCCCTTATGGTGAATACGGTATTGTTTGTGCTAAATCATGAGATCGCTAAAAAGAAAAAGCAGTTTCCTCGAATTTTTCTTAATAAGAAACGATGATTTTTTAATTTTCAGCTTTACAATAAAGCTGAAAATAAAAAAAAGGTATAAATTAAATCCATCTGATATTTTTTTATAATTAACTCCTAAAGCTAAAATCATATTAACAAAAATATATAAACGTATAAAGGTTTGGAATACAAGTCTTGTCCTATTTAAGTAAGTATCAGTTTCAGGTTACGATCCAGGTCTTATACTAGTTCAAATAACTCACACTAGATGACGTATTTAAATAAAATAATATTTTTGGAATGCGAATGGAATGTAATAAACGCATATTATTGCCAGACAACAATCAGAAATGTCCTTGAATTCTAATTTTAATTTCTTAATTACTAGGTGACAAAAGTGTTACTCTATCGCCTTCTTTAAAGTTGCTTCACCTGTAATACCTGTAATTTAATCTCCACCCTGCAGAT